GAAAGGAAAGAAAAGGGGGCATACGTTATTCATCCCCATTCCCTTGGCCCGACTCTCATACCGCAAACACTCCACCGGATACATGGCCTGATTAGGCGTCCAGCCAGCCGAATAGATAAATCCGAAGAGATAAATCATCGCGATCTGTGCGCGCGCTGCAACTGCGCTCTTGGCAATGGGCGTGCCGTCCGCTCCGTCGACCACGTTCGTTGCGTTCAACGCAGTCACTATCGCGAATAATACCACCACGATACTCGTCGACACGAGAAGCTGTGTACGTCGGCCGATTCGGTCGGTGATGAGTGCTCCTGACACGGCGCCTAGGAATGAGACCACGTTCTGCACTCCCTGCAACATCAGTTGCGTGTTGTTGTCTGTGATTCCGGCACCGCGGAGCATCTGTGGGTAGTAGTAGCTGACGGGCCCGTTGCCGGTCCATTGGCCGAAGAGGGCTATTCTCTGATCAGTATGGTTATTCTGAGGGTCGGGAAAGGTGTGGAGGCATACCCATGATAATGACCAGCATAGACCGGTATCGCACTTCCCGAGTATTGAACAACTCGCGATAATCCCACCACCGCTTATCAGACCCCGTCTGGGAAATATCCTCGATCATTTCGCGGTACTCGAGTTGCACGATAGGGGCGTTCCTGTCCCCGTCACCGTGGTAGTCGGCCAGGACTTGCAGTGCGGCGTCGTGTTTGTCTTGGGAGATGAGCCAGCGGGGACTCTAGCATACCGTTATATATTAGCATCGATACCCACTTCAAGTCAAACAAAGTGTGGCCAAGGATCTGTGAAAGATGTGGGACATACCTCAGCAATAAAAGGCACAAACACCAATACCAACCCCGAAAACACCATCTGCAACCAGATCGGGATCCGCCAACTCATAGTCCCCTCGATTGAACTCGTCCTCCACGGGATGAACGTCCCCGGGATACCGCCTCCGAACCACAACACATTGTATAGACCCGTCATGGCCCCACGGTACGCTGGGTGCGCCATCTCCGATACGTATGCCGGTCCGGCTGTGGCGGAAATAGCGACGCCGAAACCGAGGATGAAACGTCCGCCCATGAATCCGCCGATGTTGTGGCAGGTGGCTTGTACGATGGTGCCGATGATAATGAAGAGGGAGCCGAGGGCCATGCCGACGCGGCGGCCTATTATATTATTCAAGTGTTAGTGTGGCTCTGATGGGGTAGTAGACAGGTAAGGGGTGGGGTATACCCTTGAAGTCAGTAGCCGGACCAGCTACGAACGATCCGACGATATTTCCGATAGTATAGATGGCGTAGACGATACCCGTGGACGGCGTGCCGCTGTTCGGGTCGAAGCCGAAGTAGTCTCGGTACTGGGCGTAGCTGTTGATGGAACCCATCAGGGATCCGTCGTAGCCGTTGATGCAGGAGTTGAGCATAGCGACGGCGATGCAGCCGTACAACTATCGGCACACTATATTAGGACACGATAGAGCGCTAGAAAAGAAGGGCATACCTTGAGCATGCTCTTACTCCATAGCGACGGCTTCTGGAGACTCGTTGCCACAGCCAGAGCCGAGTCGCCCACCCCACCCTTGAGTTGGTCATTGGGGTGGTCGGTCTCGTCGACGTGAGCCACGCTGGTTGTAGTTTTCTCAGCCATATCCACTCACTTGGTTGAGGTGCAGAAGAAGATATTGATGATCGGGATGAAAGTGGGAATAACACGGGGAACTCACCACACATATATACTAATTACAGAGTACTCAGTCGAGGCAGCCGGTGAGGCCAGGTAGAATGTATCGGATGCAACGGTAATATGGCCGAGGAGATGTGATAGGATCGGCTGATGCAGCAAGGGTGCAGCCCCGTATCCAAACGGGAATAGAGAATCCGGGGTAGGTTTGCCTCGTCGTGGAAGATGAATGGTTGGAGGGCAAATTGCTGGCGGGGGAGGCTGCTAACTACTGCACTAGTTGACACCTTTGATTTGATAGACCTTTAGCCACTACGAGCCAGCTATAATTGACTCATCTAAACTAAGCTAACCTACTTTAATGAACCTCTGATCCTGTTCATGTCAGCGTTCTCAAATACCACGGAATACGGCCCGACGTGCCGTAGGCATGGGGATCCGGGGTAGAGAAATTAAAGTCAACCCTAAGCGAGGCACTCCGCAGCGCATGACCCATACGAGAGCTCGAAATGAATCTGCCAATAGGCCATTCGAGAATCTGCCCATAGCTATAGTCTGGAATCAATCAGACCACCATGTCAAACGAGTTATTTCTCCACCCGCCACATGGAAAGTGGGAAACGAGGGCCGAATCGATTCGCCTCGGGCATCACTGCAGCCCAACCCGCACAGACCGGGTCAACTCGATCTAGCCTGTTAGTAGACCCAGACCAGACCCTTTTAGACGCAGGGTCCGAGCTAGATTCCACGTGTAATTACAGTTTACATCAATTGCTTAGTGCTGGCTTCTGGTTTTCTTTGTCTGTCTGTCTATCGTGACTCATATTACACATAACAATAACATCTAGCTAGCTAGCTATACAGCTATCATACACTCACCCAACCAGACCAGCCCCCAAACTCCAAGAAACCATAAACAAAGAAGTTATGACAGAAACTCCCCCTTCTCCTCCGGACTAACATACAAACTCAACGTATAATACCTCCCCTCAATAATCTCACTCTCCCCTACCAACCCCCCAGCTAGCACCAACCTCGAACCCCCCCGAAACGGCATCGCCACCCACATCAACCTACCCTCGCGATCCGCCCCCATCCACGCCGTCTCCGTACACGACATACTACTCCCAAACAGCAGCGGATTGAACCCATTGCACACGGCCTCCGGGATATGCAGCACGTTCTCGAGCACGATGGTATGCGTATCGAACGGGTTATCGAGGCTGCGGACGACGGGGATCTCGACGGTTCCGATACCGGCCACTTCGAGCTCGTCCATCGGGTTGAAGATGTTGTTCTTGAGGTGCGCCGTCACGGGTCGGTAGGTCGTGAAGTGTGCGCGGTCGCGCGCGTAGTGCACGTTGCCTTGCACGACCATCCAGTCGTGGCAGATGCGTTGCGATGACGGGAGGTGCATCGCTTTGGTGCGTTTGCGGGGGGATGTCGGTGGGCTGAGCGGGCGGGTGGTCATTTTGGTGCGGATTGATGGGCTTATGGGAGGGATTGGGTTTGGTAAGGTGGTATGAAGCTGTGCTGTTGCTGTGTGGGTGTGAGCTGTGAGGGTGTTAGTGGGTCAATTGGACTGGATAGGTTGTGATTTTGAGATAGACGTACTAGTTAATTGCGTAGGTGGTGGGTGGACCGGTCAATGGGGTTATATTTGAAGTAAAAAGTGTACGAGATTGAGAAAGAGATCTCGTGAGATGCTGAGCTGAACCAGAGTTGACGCGCCGAATGCGGAAGTCGGGCAATATATTGGGGCGGTGGCTGGTTGACCGCCTGCGCTAGCTGGATCGGGTGTGGCGGGTTGCTATTTCGGGTAAGCGAGGTGATGCGGGAGTTTGTTTCTCCGGTTGTTGCGTTCTGCCTGAAGGGGTTAAGCGTTCTGCAGTGAGCAATAGCAAATAACTAGGGAGAAGATGGTTATAGCCGACTACTAGACTACTGTTTACCAACGTAAGGAAGGAGAGCCTGCTGATTAACACAAATTATTTGTCGCAGTTAGGGGAGACAGATGATCCTAGTAGCTTTGCCAGATCGCTGTGGCCGCTGAAGAACCCCTACTTTACATCTTACAAGTCCGGCAAATAGTAACAATTGCTCTCCACTAGCTGGATACGCTACATCGAATGATATCGATTTGTTGAAGCAAGAAATAATGCAGCAAGAAGTTTGCCACAAGATAATATTTGTGGTTCCTAAATCTTAGAAAACCTTAACCTTGAATATCCCGTCATATCATTCATCATATCATCCGTCATACCATCCAAGAAGCTTGAGTTTTTGACGAAGCTGATCATCGCGAAATGCTGAGTTCAGTCTTCGTTAGCATTGCGCGCTTGCAGTATCGATAACACCACTCCGGCTGAACAAGAAACAGGCTTACGTTCTTCTGGTAATGCGAGTCTCAAGTTTTGGCTTCTGGCAATTATCACATTTTCCTAGCCAAGGTTCTGCGAGCTGATAGTCCCAAGTGTTCCGAGGACAGGCTCTACCCTCTCGTTGTGCAGTTTCACAGCGTGTGAAACCAGCCTGGGCTAAATGTTTACATCCAAGATGGCTGCGTACTGCAAAGGAGCACATCGTGCTATTGTTTATGAGGTGGTAGGTTGGTTGGAGAATTGAGTGACAGATATTGTGGTAGTGAAGGGTGAAAGTTCGACGGCGCAGGTGGTAAGAGGGAGGTTAAGAGGAGTTAGCGAGTAAGAAAAAGTTCAGACTCAAAGTATGCTTGCAAGGACCATTTTATATAACATTTATAGAATTCTTCACTTCGTTTCTAGAACTATGTTAAACCGGGAAAAGCCGTGCACCTGTGATAAAGAGCGACGAATTTTCCGTGCTGATCAACAGGCTTATATACACGGCCCTGAACAAGAGCCTGAACTGCAGTGATTATCGGTTTGACAGGTATGCTAATGCTTCATTGTCACTGTCTGAGAACATTCCCTACTGTTGTCTGCAATGTGGAGTGAAGGAAATAACAGCAAGCCATATCCGAAATTTAACTACTTCTGTGAGTATAGAATTGGTAAATTAATTTCCCAGTCTTACCGTGGCCAATCGAAGGTTTTCACCTTATCAGAAGTAATTGATCAGTGAATGTGATGGTGTTATTCCTTCGGCATGGCTTCTTTAGGAAAAGCCTGTCAGTACTGTTAGTTACACGGCTAGCAGAAATACCATCTCACATTCACTATCGCTTGCTTGTATTATTTCATCTCTAGTCTGATCCCTACACATCACAATCTACAGAGATAACCCGCAACCTATTCTGCTCTCGTATATCAGTTGTTAGCGATCAGCTATCTCAAGGGATCATGGAACCAACACTTCCGGCTGATGCCACCCCTGTTTCAGTGCCTGCAGTTGACCTGATCATCGAAGGTGAAATTCGCGATTTTGCAATAGCTGACACCACCCACATCATCGTTAAGTGAGTAGGCTATGACCTTACTCCACAAGCAGCTGAAAACGTTGTCTAACCAACCTCATCCCAAGACTTCCTTTGGGGATCCTGAACTCGATAACGGCATTTTGCGCCGTGAGCTACAATCCAAACCAACCACGACTTTTCAAGGAATTCATCGGAAAGGCATTATCGGAAGAGTTCTTTGGTGACGAGCAGCAACTCCAGTGCATGAAGTCTAAGCAGATCAGGAACGTGGAATACGTTGGATACAGAAAAGAGACTCCCATAGAGACTCCTCAAGTCATCGTGGTGGCTCTCTTGGAACCTGTTCCCGGTCAGAACTTGAAGGCGGTTTGGAAGCCTGCCCCAGATATCACACCTGGAAAAATTCGAGAGCGTGAGTATCTGGCGCCGTGGGATTGAATTTAAATGTTAACAGTGTGATTGAGCAGGGGCTAGAATGAGGGCTATGGAGAATTTTGCCAAAGAACAGTACAGGAGATGGGGGCTACATGAACTGGACTGATCTCTGTGAAAGTTAGGGTCCCTTCTAATCTACGAAGAATAGTCCACCTATACAGCAAAAAACGCGGGTGGTGTTAACACAGTCGAAACGCCATTGGAGGGGCGCATGATGGAAAGCTAGCTTAGCAGTAGGCGTTGCTAATCTGACTTCTAAGGCAACTTATGAGTTGCAGTAATCGACCCCATTGCCCGTAAGATTAACAGAGATCTTAGATTCAACTGGTTTACTAACGGAAATCGAGTAGTCCTAGGCGGTTGCAGCTCAGCCTACGATATACAACAGCAAGTCGGGAATTTACAATCGTATAATATAAGTTGGCATAGGACAGCGTAAAACGTAGCTCAATATATCACGTTACAGGCAATGTGAGCCGGCGTGACCATGGTCAGGTACAGCATCATTCCTTGTAAAGCGCACCGAGAAGCGTTAGTCCCGATAGACGAGATCCATGAAACCCCAGCTTTTAATATATTCGGACTCTGTTGAACCGAGTCATGCATGACAGACCAGAAGGGTTGCATACTACAGTGCGGGGAAAGGTCTGTCCAGTCAGGCGCAAAAACTCAGTCCACCAATACAATGAAGCTCCTTGAGCTTGAGCACGGTCGCCTCGGGTATAGCAATCCCATCGTCTTTAATACTTGGCAGCATAAGAGGAAAAGATGAAGATCTACCACTTCTATACGAGCAAGAATGATCATCATGCGTACAATTATTCTTTCCCTTCTCGTGACCCCGATTCTTGCTGCGGTGGGACCTGAGTCCCTAGGGTCGGATGTATCCATTCTACTTCATAATGATCTATTAGGTGAGCGCGAGCCAAGATAGAATGACAGCAGCAAATATAACCCCTGAAAAGAGGCAGATAGTCCACTGGTAAACTCAAGCGTCATAATTCTGGGTGTCAAGAATTTGGAGCAAGCGACCGAAGCCTGCAATGCGCTCGGAGAGTCACTCTGGGGCAATGCTCCCTCGACACCTGCGGACGTCAAGGCTGACCTTGAATACCTTACCTACCGTGGCGACTACAAAGACAATCAGCGTTTCTGGATATTGCCAGTCAACGGCACTGGTAGGACAATTGATCTGAAAGGAACTATTGCGACGGCAGAGAGCAGCCAACTTTACCCTGCGCTTTGCACACAGAGTGCTCCTTATTCGACAGAAGACTACCAGAACACAAGCAGCCAGTATCAAGTTACAGTGCATGCAAATAATGAGTACCTAACAGGGTAAGGTTCTCCTTTCCGCAGACCAAACATTAGCTCACAGGGTAGGTATCGTGATCATGTTATATTCCGGTTCATCGGTGTCCGCTTCGCTACCGAGAAAGAACGATGGACCTATCCAGAACGATATACGGGCAGTGGAAGCAACGTCTCTGCTTTAAAGTATGGGTCCATATGTCAGCGCGACGCGAATGGTAATGAAGAGAACTGTCTTATTCTGAACATATGGACTCCTTACCTCCCTCGTCAGCCGGCAGAGAAGAAGAAATTGAGACCAGTAGCATTCTGGATTCACGGCGGTGCCTTTACTGGCGGAAGCCCCAATGATCCATACTACGATGGAGGAAACCTTGCTTCGAGAGGCGATGTCGTGGTAGTCGGAATCAGTTACCGACTCGGAACCCTTGGATTTCTCGCTTTGAATGACGGCAAAACAAACGGTAATTTTGGCCTCGCTGACCAAATCGCCGCACTCGACTGGGTCCGCCAAAACATCGAAGCCTTTGGAGGTGACCCAGACCAGATCACCATTTTTGGTCAGTCTGCCGGAGCGGCCTCCGTGCGAGCGTTGCTGGCTTCGCCTAAAGCAAAGGGAACGTTCAGCCGCGCTATTATGCAAAGCAACCTCGGGGGTCTTGCGTATGGCACCACTTACTCCCGGTACTATACCATTGATGAGGAGATGGATGTAGCTGGCAGCGCCATCCTGGAAGAAACGAACTGCACTGCCGCGACATCGCCTGTGGACTGTCTCAGGAACTACACCGCCAGTGCCATTACCGATCTGTCGACCACAGCCCGATACCTCGTCGTTGATGGGACGTATCTGAACAGCCCCCAGCTTGATCTCAGCCGCTCCACAGAAGCGTCGCGTGTACCTGTTATGATGGGCATCATGCGCGATGATGGCGCCCAGTTCATCAGCTATCCAAATGCCAGCGAGAATATTGACACTTTTCTAACTGAGAATGACCTGCCCGCGTCTGTACTTACAAGCGGCCTCTTTCCCCTGGCCACTGGCCCTAATGCAACGCTTGATGTGTTCAACACGTCCGCCCGCGTGGCAACTGATGGTATGTTTCGATGCATCGACGAAGCAACAGGTTATGCAGGCGTCGTCAACAACATATTCCCTGAGGTATACTTCTATGAGTTCAACCGGTCCTATGAGCTCGAGGGTCAAGTATATAACGGTCGAGTATGCTATGCTCCCCCTGCGGCAGCGTACCCAAACGGTGACCCGAATCTGGAGTACTGGAAGTGTCATTCTGGAGATCTATACTATGTCTTTGGGAATCTGCGGCGATTGAACCAGCCATTCAGGGACGAGTATGAGTTGCCGTTTGAGCAGTATGTACTGGATTCCTGGGCCAGTTTCATTAGGACTGGAAACCCGACACCAGATCCGGGGCTGTTGAGATCTAGAGGCTATGTGAATACCAGCCGGGCTGTTGAGGAAAGTGGTGCGTGGCGACCCTTGCGAGAGGGGGACTATAGTTTGAGGAGAATGCAGTGGCCTCCGTACCAGACTGCATTCAATGAGGTGGAGCAGTGTACTGCGTTGGAATTGCCGCTGAATTACTATGTGTGAATGTGGTAGATTGATCATGGTCTTGAACGATGGGGAAGGTTCCATGCAGGCCAAGGACGACTGCCCAAGAAGGATCATTCAGGCATCGAGGATTTCAGGCTTCTGGACATTTCCTTGCAAATGTAGGAGATCTCCCATGTAAGTTGATAGCTTTGGGCTCACTGAAATAATATAAAGGGGCTCGAGCATTTCCTTCAACCTCAGCTTTTCTTCCCTGTCCACCCCAGAAAAGCCAAGGGGGGCGGAAGGGAGGATGGAGGCGACAAGGCTCAATGCTTCTTGTATCTTTATATATATTGCAGTGATGATGAATGAGTACATCAAGGTCACCATCCAGCTCTGGAGAAGTGTTCTTCTCACAAAACAGCCTGTGGAGCTGGCAATGGCAGACGAAATATCTTCATCTCACACGTAAGACAAGGTGCTACTCCTGAAAGGAGCGGACACACGTTCGACGTCAGCGTTATACAGGCAAAGAAATCATGACTTCCCCATCTACCGAGTAAGATGATCATGATATCCAGATCATTACCAATGCCACAAACATACTTTATATGACTCACTGGCAGGACATCAACGCCCAGCGCTACGCTCAGCGAAAGAAATGTGCTCACACACCCAGACCCGGCTCAAACAATCGCGACTTCCCAGTTTGGGTACATAATGTGTGAATGCTCGCATTCGACGATGCTACTGTCCTCAGTCATCTTGCTTGTCAGCATGGGACGTGCGATTCAACAGCACCAACGACACGAGCTATATATCATGTTTCTGTTTCACAACGACGCAACCATCATCGCCCCTATTGACTGGCACGAGGTAATCGTATCCTCGAAGAATTTATAAAAAAGAACTGCAAACAGGCAACATCCCCTTCCTCAGGGTGCAGACTTGGTACTGGAACTGTGTATGGTCCAGGCTATACGTGTTGATTGGCTCCCCAGTCTGTTCTCAAGGCCGAGTAGGACACGTCTGACCAATTCATAGTATTGTGGCTGCCGGTGTGTTCAGGCACTGTTTTTGGTAGGGATCATCATCTTCCTCGCACGGATGACCCCAGTCAGAGACTAACTGGCCTGCTGGAATGAAATGCACTATGACCATCACTACTGGCATCTCATTCGGGGCATTGCCTCTTCTTCCTCAACTGGCAAGCTAACAAGAGAAACCCAGCGTATTGTCCTGCGCAGAGTGGAAAGCCATGGACAATCGAGGGAGATTTCTGGCTCAGCTTGCTGTAAAGCTTCCGTGACTTGCTGAACATTTTGGGCAAATGCCTTTACTACGCAGCTTCGTCGGGTTATTCTGGCACTGCTGCGATTGCACTCGCTTGGGGTCTTGTTGTTGCGGATGAGGGTGATCAAATGAAGGGGGGTCTATACAAACATGGAAGCAACCGATGTTGCGTCTGCTTTTGACGACACTGAAGCTTTTCCTACGGCCTAGGGGATAGGAACGAGCTGAAACAAGAACTCAATAGACACCATATCTTGGTATTCAGGAGGTCATCGATGATATGACTGCGTGGGGCTCCCTATATACTCATCTCGACAGCGAGATACACCACCAATTGAGGTACGTTGGTATTCCGGAGTAACGAATGTCTCATCGGATACCGTAGATTAAGTCTCTTGGTCTTCGCTGTCTGTGATGTCACCGACAGTTCAGGAGGTGTATACAATCTAGAGGACGTCCACTACTGGCTTGGGCTGTTACGACAACATCACTAACATTATGCCATTGCCCGACTCTGGATTTGCAAACAAATTCATTATGCTCTTTGACGCAGTCTATGCAACGTGCTGCTGCACTCCTATTGAACACCACCACCAGTTCAACACTTGTGTCTGTGTCGGTGGATCATTATTGGGGTCTGGTAAGATACTTCTCGGACAATACAATGCTGAGAAGCAATCACTGCTGTGCTCATGGCCCTGGAAAGCGTACATGGTCATCGAAGACAGATCCAAATTTTTGAGGAGCTGAGCAACAGTGTAAGGGGTACACAAATCCTAAGCAAGAGCGATACCGAGGTGCTGCTGCGGTATATATTCCTCAGGGGTGACTTGCGGTGCGCTCCGTATGAAAATCGCATGGCTACCAGGATGCCTTATTGTCTGTTTAGAGAAATGAGACGATCTCAAGAATTGTCGCTTGTCGGTGGATATATATCATAGTGC